TGGGAGTGGAAGTCCACCCATCTTAAAGTGGCCCAGGTGGAGAAACACTGATGTAGAAGTCAAAAGGGATCTTAGAGGTCACCTAGTCCAGCCCCTTGCTTCGTGCATCCAGCCATTTGAAGACCTCCAGCAAGGGGAAGTTCTCCATTGTTCTAACCCGACTTAATCGCTCACGATTAAGCCAGCTTAACAGCTCTTAACTGTCAGGAAATTTACCTTTATATACCTGTATATTTTTATTTCTTTTCATTCCATCCCCCTGGTCTTTATTCTGCTCCAGTTTCAAGACCCACTTCTCTGGGACCGCGCTTGGGGTCTTTGTAGGTCCCTCTCCTACTTCCCCTTCATCACAGAATCCTAGACCTGGTTGCGACCTTAAAGGTCACTGAGTCCACCCCCTGCTTGGTGCAGGATTCCCCAGGCCACCTCGGACAGATGACCTTCCAGCCTCTCTTAAAGACCCCAACGAAAAGCAAACTGGCTGCATCAGGTGGCGGTCTGTTCCACGGGGCGACAGCTTGCACGGTCAGGGAGCTCCTCCCGAAGAGTATCCTGAGCCTCCAACTTTGTCATTTTAACCCCTTTGGGTGACAGAGAACAGTCCTTTCTCTTCTGGGGGGCAACCTAAACACGCCCAGCTCCTGTAACTGTTCCTGCTCCGTTTCTTCCCTGGAATGGCTCCAGCGCCTTCGTGTCCCTTTTAAAGTGCGAGGCCCAGGCCTGGATGCCGGACGACTCCGAGAGGCCTCTAATCAGCAATGCTAACGCCCAGGCTTTGGACGCGAGGCTTCTGTGGATGCAGCCCACGATTGCATTGGCCTTTCTAGCTGCTGCATCACTTCGCTTGCTCATCTTCAGCTGGACCTGCTCCACTAGGACCCACAAGATCCCTCTCAAACACACTGCTGCTGAGCACTGTCTCCCTAATCCTGCACCTATGCGTTTTCATTGTTCCTACCCACAATGGAGGATCTTACACTTGCCACCCAGAGAAAATGCCAGTAAAGTGTAATTTGGGCCTGGAGCATCTTTCCCTCCCTCCCTCCCTCCCTCCCTCCCTCCTTCCTTCCCTTCTTTTTTCTATCTCTTTATTCTTTCCTTCCATCCTTTCTTCTTTTTCCTTTCTTTCTCCCTCTCCTCTTCCCTCCCTCCCTTCTCTCTTCCTCTCTTTCCTTCTGCATTTCCATTCCATTTCCCCTTCCTTCTCCATTCTACACACTCACCTTTCCCCTTGCCTTGAACCATTCATTTGCAATTAAAAAAAAAAATTTGGTGGGGACCTGCAGGGTCCTGGCTTCAACCCAGAGGATGACCCACCCGCTGTCCCTCAATTGGTCTGGAGGTCCAGCCTCCTGCCGGGGAGCTCTGCTGGGTCGTACCCCGGCCCCTTCTCTCTCTCCAGCCAATGCCCCCTTCTGTCTCCCTTGCCTTTAGTTATCACCCTGTGCTGCATCTTCAAGTGCCGGATCCCGAGGACCAAGAAGGAGATCGAAGCCCGCTACGCCAAGCGGCAGGCTGCGAAGATGTACGCAGACAAGCTGGACACGGTGCCGCCACTCAGTGAACTGACCGAGATTCCAGGAGGTACGAGGGTTTGCTTTTCTTCTGGTGATGATGGGGAGGAGGGGAGACATTGGGGCCCGAGGCATATGAATTTGGGGAGAAGGCACAATCTCCAAATCTAAAAATGTGGCCCCTCCAAATTTTCTCAAATTCTGTTTGGATCCTTGCAAGGAGTTTCCTTGAAAGAAGACACTTTGAAGACACTTGGAAATGAAGATTTTTTCCCCCAGTTGCTGCTGTTCTCTTTGTGATTCCCAATCTTATTGCAGACAGACTGTGACGCAGCTTCTAAACTTTGCTTATTTATTTATTTATAGTTATTATTAAATTTATATGCTGCCCGTCTCCCCCAGAGGGTGATTCTGGGCGGCTTACAATTAAAAACCAAGACAATAAAAACAATAAAAATGTAAACAGTTAAATTCACAAGTAACAACTCTATAAAAGCCAGTCTACAATTCAAGATGATGGGGGGAGCACTTCAATCCTCCTATCAGCCAGTTGCAGTTGTTTTAAAATCCAATAGTCTAAATCTCACAAGATCACTGACACTTTTATTTCCTTTCCTTTCATTAGGCTAAGCCAGTGTTGTCCAAACTTGGCCACTCTAAGATGAGTGGACTTCAACTCCCAGAATTCCCCAGCCAGCATGGCTG